CTCCACTCTCCTCTCGGGATCTTGGGCACGCACGCACACGCGCCCGGCGTGAGTTTAAGCCACCGGGTCCGGGACTTGAACCACGGTCGACTACGTGGGAGTCCAGCGACATAGCCATTATGCTAACTGCTGGTCCCGAGCATTTTTGTTTTGAAGTAGCTGAACAGTATTTGAATTTTAAAAAAATAGCTAAAGATCTGCTGGAAAATGGACATCGTTTTTCCAGATTTTATTATGTAGAAGTTGTTGTAGAATAGGGTTCCAGCAGGCGAGTCAGGCCACAGCCAGCAGGTCACATGTTCCAAGCGGACGGCCTTTTCCAGCCTCGCTTAGAACTGCGCCCAGCCTTTTCTCTCGGCCTTTTTTTTCTTTGAACTTTGCTGAGCGCAGAGAAAATGTAGTTCCATTTCCTGGAAGAAAGCAGACGACTACGTTATAGACCACGAGCTATCAACACGTGGGGATTTATTGCACAACCCCCTGCAATTAACTAAAGCCCTAACGAGGCATTTTGTACCAGCGTGTGACACGTGCCTTTTTCTTGCTGTGCCGGGCAGGAAATTAAGAGAAGAGTTTTGTCATCTACGAAAGAGATTTGGTTAGTTTGAAATGTTTGTTGGCTTGAGAATGTAGTCAGGAGCATTTTGTCAGAAATGACCAGCGATTTGCTTTTGTCCGTGGCCATCGAAGATTGTTTGGGAGAGAAGAAGAGTGGTTACCAAGGGTGGGAGGCAGGGGCTATGGGAGAATGGAGAGATAGGAGAGGGTCCAGAGACGGTTATCTTAGGTGGATAGTCCTGCTTGTATACTAGATTATTATTTTTTTTGACAGGTTTTTGCTGTAGGGCACGTGCACTTGCCAGAAAGACAGACAGAGAGACAGGAAGTGAGAAATCACCCCCCAGAGGGATGGCCACGCCACAGTCCCTTCTCCTCCATTCTCCTCTCGGGATCTTGGGGACACACACACATGCACCTGGTGTGAGATAAGTCACTGGGCGAAGACTCGAACTGTGGTTGACTACATGGGAGTCCAGCGACATAGCCATTATGCTAACTGCTGGTCCCATATAGTGGGAATTTTATGAGGTGATTTCAGATACGCTTACAAAGAAAAAAGGTAACTGCTGATGGTGATGTTAGTTTATTTGACTGTAGTAATCACGACTATGTCACGTGTGTCCCCAAACATCATGTGGTATTCCTTAAATATGAACAATCAGTCGATTCTTAGCCATAATTAAAATAAGAACTTCGCTTTTATATTCTGAGGTAGATTTTTTGGTAATGAATGTATTTATGGCCAATTAGCCTTTATTTTCTGTTTTAAATTTACATCTTCTTTTCTCTCAATTTAATTTTTCCTTAGAAACTTTTTAAATTACAGAAGTATAGCATGATTGTTGCAATAAATGTCAAACAAAAGAAAAAGTAAAGATATCATTAAGAAAAACCTATGGGGGCAAGCAGGTGGCGTGGTGCTTAAGGCACCGGATCCCACACGGCCAGGTTCGCAGTTGAGTCTCAGACCCAGAGGCTTGGCAGATGCACTGGGCGAGTGTACACGTGTCTGACGTCCTGAGGGGACGACGGAGGACGAGAGGTGGTGGCGTGGACATCCTTCCTGGGCGTGATTTCTGTCCTTCCTTCCCTTCCCCGACCCCTCCAGTGAGGACATATGCCCTATATCAAAAAGAAAGTTACTGCTCTTTTTCTTCCCGTCTCCTTACCTTCACAAGAGACTCTAGCTCAATGAGCTTTGTGAATCCTTCGTATTGATGAACAGGAAAGTGAGAAAAGTACCCCTGAGTCCTCGGCAGTTCAGTGACAGGGGCAGAAGAGAGTTTTTTAGCTCTCAGGAAGAATGCAGATTTATTTATATATTTTTGGTAGCAGCTTTTGCCTCAGGGTGTGTACACTTGCCACAGAGACAGAGACAGACAGAAAGAGACAGACAGAGCGAAGGTGAGAAATCACAGCCCTGGGAGGATGGCCCTGCCACAGTCCTTTCTCCTCCACTCTCCTGGGATCTTGGGCATGCACAAACATGCACCCAGCGTGACTTGCAAACCACTGGCTCTGGGACTCGAACCGCAGTCAGCCATGTGGGAGTCTAGTAACGTTACTGCCACACCATCTGCTGGCCCTGACAAAATTCAGATTTTACCCTTTTTAACCTCCCCTTTGTTTTTTCTTTTTAAATTTTATTTAACTTTGTTTATTTATTTATTTTAATTCGACCAGAGAAGGATGGGAGTGGCGGGGTGGGGGGGATTGAGAAAGCAAGCCGCCAAGTCCGAGACTCAAACCGTGGTCGGCCGTGTGGGAGTCCTGCACCCTTACACCACTCTGCTGTCGCCCCCCCACCCCCTTGCCCTGTGTCCCTGTCATCAGTGCTGTGGCAGCACTGAAGTGGTAGGAATAGCAAGAGTCTTAGAACGCGCGGAATTCCAGCTCCCTCTGTAATCAGTAGACGCGGTCCCTGGAGCATGGAGTAGACCCCCATCGGCTGGTGCTCTGTCCACTCTGCCCTTCCACACTGCTCAGCACAGCCGCAGGGAGCATGACCGAGATAAAGCCTCGTTCTCGTTGAGTGATAAGTCAAGGGGAGCCCCAGGCTACCAAAAAACATCTGGAAGGTTGCACGGTGGGAGGAGCTCAGGATAGCAACCTCTTCAAAGTAGTCGTGCTTGTACGCTTGTTCCCGACCCATACACACGATTTAGCAGCACAGAGGGAACTTCAGTAATTTCTCCAAAATTGGAATTAATGTGCAAATTTATTTTGGTGCAACAAAATTTTGAAATCCGTGCATAGTTTTTTCATAACACATTTTCCATAAACTTCTTGAAGACGCCGCATACTTTGAGAACTGAACGGTGGCATTGACCCCACCCAAGTCCCAGAGTGGTCGGTTTGTGAAATACACCTTGGACAGGGATGTGAATGCCCTACAGGTGATCTGAACGCCTAGCCGCAGTGGCGCCGGGACGCGGCGCTGGAGCCAATGGTCACCCTGAGCATACTGAGCAGGCCGAAGCTGTGGCTAGCTGGGACGGCTGCAGTGGAGGTGGGGACTGTGAGGTGGGGACAGGGATGGTGGCAGAGTGAGTCCCTAATGGGGGCCTCTGTCTCTGCCCCTCTCTCATGAAAAGGAGAAGGAAACTTTTAAAGTATTGTTTTGAAAACTGAGTACCAACCATGGCAGCACAGCGATAGACAGACACAGCTACTTACCAGGCCGAGGTCATATTAAAGACTCAGGTCCAATGCATACTGGGTTTGCGTTCCTGTCATCCCAGCCACTCAGGAGGCTGAGGCAGGGGTCACATTGTAAAACTATGCTTTATAAAGGAAAATAACAATAATAAAAAGATTTGAAAGCTGAACTGGCACTGGAACTACAGCTCACAGAACGCTTCTTGGAACTTGCAACTTGAACCTAACCATTGATAGAAAATACCGACATCAGGACCAGCAGTTAGCATAATAGCTATGTCGCTGGACTCCCATGTAGTTGACCGCGGTTCGAGTCTTAGACCTAGTGCCTTAAACTCACGCTTGGGCACATGTGCTTGCATACCCGAGATCCCGAGAGGAGAATGGAGGAGAAGGGACTGTGGCGTGACCATCCCCCCTGGGGGGAGAGTTCTCACTTTCCGTCTCTCTGTCTCTCTCTGTCTTTCTGGCGAGCGCATGTGCCCTATACCCAAAACCTCTCTTTAAAAAAAGAAAAAAAGAAAGAAAATACCAACATCACTATTCTCCATAGTATATAAACAAGACACAGAGTTCTTCAACATAGTAGTTAAAATGTCTGGAAAACAATGAAAAATTACTTGGCAGGAAACCAGAAAATCCAAGTTGTATGAATGGTGATTGTCAACAGCCAGCAGATGTCAGTGCTGGGGTGGCACAGACGCTGCAATTATTGTGCAAAGATTAAAGGAGCTAGAAAAATGCTCTAACAGCTAGGGGCAAATGCGACAGAAAGGAATGGAACGGGAGAGATTTCCATCTTAGAAACAGAAGGTGTCAGGAAGAATGAGATGAAACATTTTGAGTTGCAATGAAATAAATATAAAAAGTATTCAACAGACTCAGCAGAAGAATGGTGATAAATAAGGAAAGTTAAGTGATTGTAAAAATTTATCATGCCTGGGACCAGCAGTTAGCATATTGGCTATGTCGCTGGACTCCCACGTAGTCGACCATGGTTTGAGTCCCGGACCCGGTGGCTTAAACTCATGCCGGGCGTGTGTGTGTGCATGCCCAAGATCCCAAGAGGAGAATGGAGGAGAAGGGATTGTGGTGTGGCCATCCCCCCTGGGGGATGATTTCTTGCTTTCTGTCTGTCTCTGTCTTTCTGGCGAACGCACGCGCCCTATAGCAAAAATCTCTCCAAAAAAGAGAACAAAAATTTATCATGCCTACAGTTTAGTGAACGATGTGATGCTTACAGGCTGAGCTCGCACGGATGGTTAGGCTTTCCCAAACTCTGTGTGCTTCCTCTTTCTACATTATGTTTCTTCGTTCTCTGAAATGGAGGTGTTTCAGTGCTACGGTATTCATCATTTCACGTGTGTTTTTGTCTCTACCTTTGCAGGTTCATGTCAGAGCTGGTCTTTTTCACGGTACTGAGCTCTTGTGTAAAACCATCGTGAGCTCAGAGATATCAGGAAAGAACGACCACGTTTGGAACGAGCCGCTGGAGTTCGATATTAACATATGTGACTTGCCGAGGATGGCACGGTTATGTTTCGCTGTTTACGCGGTTTTGGATAAAGTGAAGACGAAGAAATCAACTAAAACTATTAATCCCTCTAAATACCAGACCATCAGGAAAGCTGGAAAAGTGGTAATGATATGTGGGATAATTTGAAGCCTAAGAAGTAACTGAGTAACGTAGACGAAGTTATATCATGTAACCTGGGTCCTTAAGACCTGACTTACAGAAGAAAACAATCTCCACGTTTATGCCTTGTCCACTCATCTTCTTTTGGCGCTCAGTGAATTTTATACCTCAAGTGTTCAGTTACAAATGAAATATACTCTTCGGAAGCTATAAATTTAAAAAATGGAAGATAATTTAAAAATTTTTCAGAACCACAGTTCCTTACCTCAAATCCCCAGTGAATTTTTTTTTTCCTTTTAGAAAGGGCGTAGGTCATAGGGCAACACACTTTAGGGGCTATGGGGCAGGAAGGTGGATTCACACACCAAAGCATTGGGAGTGGATTTTACGAATATCCATTCTCGGTGTGACGAGGCTGTTGGCAGCGTCCTGTCATCACTGGCTGCATTTTGCTGTCACAGGAATTACAGACAGTCCTTTAGTTTTCAGAGTTGCTTGGATTTTGAACTCATGGTTAGAGGATGGAAAATCTGTTGTTGTAATCTCATCTTCCATTTCACTGTTTTTTTTGTTTTTTTTTTAAGTCAGGTGTTTTTCATTTTCTTCTTTCTGAAATGCTTCTGAGGGAGTTGTAGACCTGGATTTTATGGTTTCTAAAACCCAGTTACTATGTAAATCTGTATGAATTGGCATCCTTTTATTCTTGACACGGGAATGTCACATATCCCCTGGTGACCATCATATATTCTTCTAAAAAAATTCTCTCTTTTTTTTTTTTTAAAGAGGCTTTTGCTATAGGGCGTGTGCGCTCGCCAGACAGACAGAGACAGAGAGACAGAAAGTGAGAAATCACCCCCCAGGGGGGATGGCCACGCCACAATCCCTTCTCCTCCATTCTCCTCTCGGGATCTTGGGCACGCACGCACACGCGCCCG